CCCCCCCCGTGCTAGGAATGGTGGGTGGCTCTCAGAGCCAAGCCTGGTGGGATCTGTCCTAAAATCAACGTTCAACCCACTGTATGTGGAAAGCACAGTCACAACCCCCACCCCGAACCTCTCATAAGTTCTCCTCAGCCCACTCAAGGCCCCCCACCAGGACCTGGCATGGGCACTCAGAGCTGCCTCCCCTCTTCCAGATCAGGTCCACAGTCCCAGTCCTGACACTGTCCCAAGTGCTTCGAGGGGACCATGTATAGGCCCACACACACTGAAGGGAAGCAGAAGGCAGCCGGATCCACACAGAAAGGTCAGCCAGGGCAGGCACAGCCCCCCTGTCCTCCCACTGTCCCGCTGTGGGACATAGGGACCGACCCAGCGCTGGGAACCCGGGAGGCGATTTCCCATGGAGCTCGTTAAAAATAAACCCCATGACCCACAGCAGCTGCCTGGCAAGTCAAGCCCCGGCATGCTGGGAGCAGCCGTGGCTGCGCCACGGGACAAGAGCATCAGTCCCCTCCCTTCCAGTCCCATGGACCACCACCAGGCCGCCCATCCAGGCTCTTCAGGTTCTGCTGCAGCAGGAATCCAGGGTTGGTCCCTCAGCTGAACCCAGGCTGAGCAGTCCCGAGGGACCCACACCACCACCTGCCCACAGAGACCCTCTTGCACAGAGTCCTCAGCAAAGCCATCGCCCTTCACCCCCCCTACTTGGGGTCTGGGGACCAGGGGAGGATATTTACATCCCAGCGAAGCCAGCAGACAAAAGCCATCATGTACCAGTCCTAATGCCAGCCAAAATTGTGATCTCCCAGCCCCTGCCAGCCTCGAGGCCCAGCTGGGAACGTAATCCTTCCTCAGCTGGGAAGACTCTGGCAGGATGCTCAGCAGCCAGGACCACTGACCCCCAGCCAGCCTGGCGCTGAAAATGCACTCAACCTCAGGGGCAGCCACTTGAAGCTGAGGTGCTGCCTCCTACCCTGCAGCCCCTGCCACACCAGCTGGAAGTGCCATACCTCCCAGCACACTGCAGCTGCTTATGGCATCCCACAGCAGCACAAGCATCTGCCTCCTGGACAGAGCTGGGGCCTGCAACCCCCAGGCTCTTGTCTAGAGCTGGCACCTCCTCTGGCACAAGGGCAGGGAAAGCGGCTGGGAAGAGCTGGAGCCACTGTGCTGCCAGGGCGGGGGGATGTCAGGGCAGAAACCAGCCCCTCCGGCCACATGGGCCTCCCATTTCCCGTCTGCCTGGCCCGGGCAGCTGCCTGCACCCTGGGGATGCTGCTGCAGGCAGGGACGATGGCTGCCAGGACAAAGGCACAAGATAGGGCCTTTCCTGCTGCTGCTCCAGCAGAGACAAAAAACACCCTGGCCAGTCAGGAAGCCCAGCTCTGCTGCGCGTGGGGTGGCAGCAATGGGCTGGGGGAGCGACGGAGCTTGGTCCAGCCCTAAATGTGGGGCTGGAAGCAGAGGCCCTGTGGCAAGCACAGCTCTCCCTGCAGCCACGCAAAGGCCTTGAGGACAGAAAAACACTTCTCCAACCACAGGCCAGGAAGCCAAGGCTCTAGCCCTTCCCTAAATAAGCTGCTGGCAGCATATGGCTTGGCGCTGGCAGCCAGGTCAGGGTGATGGGGTTGGTGGCAGCAACTGCAGGAACCAGGTGCGCAGGGAAGGGGGGGACACAACAGGACACCATCCCCGCACACCCCACAGCAGGGGACACCCTGGCACCCATGTGCTGCATGACACTTGCCTGCCAGCTCCAGGACACTTCACCCCACATGAGAAACTGCAGCAGGGCCAGAGGAAGAGCCTCATCCCAAGCCGACATCAGCAAGGAATGAGGATGAGGCAAATGAGTGGCTTTGGAGGTTCTGTGGCCAGCAGCAAGAGGGAATGTGCTGGAAACCACAGCTGGAGCCAGGGGGTGGGAAGGGGCTGAGGGGCCCAACCCTGCTGGCACAGGCCAGCACAGGGATCAGCACATGCCAGGGCCCCACCAGCCCTGCCCAGCCAGCAGCAAATTAATGGTTACAAGCAAACGCCTGCCTCGGCACACACACAAAGTGGCTTTGTGAAAAGGGTGCTGGCAAGGCACCCGTGGGCTGCTTTCCCAATGATGCCCAAGCTCAGCACTGCTCAGAGCCCCAGCACAGCTAGCAGCTCCTTTGGGAGGGCCATAATTAGCCCTGCATCCATCCAGCTCCCTGGAGCAGTTGAGCACAGCACACTTGGGAGACTGGAGCCCAGCCACAGGGAAACTGCTCTAGGTACAGAAGGCAGGCACATCAAACACCTCCTGCAGCCCTCAGGCTTCACTGTCGCCTTTGGAAGGAGCCACAGGGAGTGTGGCTGCCTCCCAGGAAAAAGGAAAACAGGAGGGACAGCTGGGTGACCTGGACATGGCAGGGATGCAACACTCCTTGGGGCCACTGAAGCCTGGCCCAAAGGCCACCTCAAGGTTGTGACTTTCCTAGCTCAAGCCTGCCCTGCCACTGCCTGCAAGGCAATTTGCAACTGGTCTGTCTAATTAACCAGCCTGAGATCTGAAGGGGCCAGGAGAGGGAAATAATCCCCAGTCTGAGGCCAGCAGACTACAGCCTGGAGCTCATCACAGACCTGAGTGCCCAAATAATCCCCAACTTCCAGACACCCAGCTAAAGGCACCTTGCAGCAGCACACATCCCATTCCCCACAGCTCCCTCCCCAAACTCCTCCAAACCCTTGGTCACCTTCATGTTGCACCACAGGTTCATCCCAACCGGTCTCCCCAGGACTGGGGTATCAGCAATCAGCTGGAGAGGGAACTGTGTAGGTGCCTACGGGAGGGAGATGAGGGGCAGAGGCTCCCTAGCAGCTCCCAGCACAGCCAACACAGCAACAGCCCTAGAGAAGGGGCTGCAGGGATCTGCTCACATTCTCCAGCCTCCTTCTTCCAGGACCCCCAGGGACATTACACACTTTTGACAAGGTCTCACTTGCTGGGAGAAAGGAGGAGAAGCAGCCCAGAGCCAAGGCTGAGGAGAGCAGAGGAACACAGAGGAAGCAGTGGGAGAGGCAGTTTTCCCTTATATGGGCTAATCCTCTTCCAGCTGAGTGGAGCCAAAACCTAACCAGAAAGAAAAATAATTCCTTCCCCGCCTCACGTCAGCTGGGAGCAGGCTTTCCCCAGCCTGCGCCGCACAGGCACAGGGAGCCCCGAGATGCGAGAAGCGGAGCTCCAGCAGGTCAAAGACAAAGCCCCAGGGAGCAGCGGCGCTTCCAGCGTGGGTAAGATCCACCTCCCCGGGCTGGCTGGAGACCCAGCCACACCACAGACTCGACACCTACCCCAGCTCAGCCCAGAGACCCCAGCCGGGACACGGCAGAGCAGGACACACAGAAACCCAGACCACCCATCCCTGCACCTCCGGGGACCCTGTAGGCACCGACGTCAGCCCACAGAGAGCAAGCAGGGTCCCCAGCCCACGAACAACGGGCAGGTCCGCACGCTGCCGCCCAGAGCAGGCAGGGGATGGCATGTCAGGAGGCTCTGGCAGGGCAGCACAGCCCCCGTGCCGACCCCAGGGCACAGCCCAGCTCCAGCTTCCCGCCGGCAGTGCAGCACCCCGACTCTTTCCTGTTCCCCCAGACGGGCCTTCCCGGCTGACTCAGCTTCCTGCTGTAGCCACTGCCCAGCGCTGGCCCAGGCAAACCCGCGCTCAGCCCCCGGGGGCTCCAGCAAAGCCCCAGCCCCGACCCCGCGGTGCCCCAGGGCTCGAGGAGAGGTGGCAGGGGCCGCCCGAAGTTGGGCAGCACTTTGTAGGACTTCCCGGCACAACAGCCCTGACTGAGCAGCTCAGAGCCCACCTCTGGGACACACGGGGGCTTGTCCACCACGAGTCCATCAGGCCCGGGCAGCTTCGAGGCCCGGACTCGGCTCCTGTTCTTACTCCCGGGGAAGCGAAGGGAGCAGGGAAGTCACAGGGACGTTGCTCCAGCTGCTGCTGCCCAGACGTGCCGGCACAGAGCCTGGGGAGCAGCCCGCGGCACCGGGCCAGACGGTAGCCGGCACCGGGAGAGCGGTGAGCAGGCAACTGAGCCGGCAGTGGGAAACGCCTCCGGCAGGAGCCGCCGGCCAAGGACCAGGAGCCAGCGAACAGATGTTAGAGCTTGAACGCGGTGCCAGCAAAGGGCCGAGCGTGGCTCAGCGCAGCAAGGCCACATCCCCTGGAGCCACGGGGACAGGACGGGGACTTGTGCTTAGAGCTCACCCGTGCCCCGAGCCCCGGCCCAGGCCAGCCCGGGTCCCTCCAGGTGCCACTTGCCCGGGACCTCCCAAGCACTGCGGCAGCTCCTCGCCGGCAGCCCCGCTCGCCCCCCCGGGCCGAGTGGCGGCGGCAGCTCCACCACCTGCAGAGCGCGGACGGGCCCGTGCTGCCGCTCAGCCCCGCACCCGCGCCTCGGACGGCCGCC